AGTGAAGCGAGGAAAGAGAAAGGGAAAGGTGAGAAAAGGAAATGAGGGCTAAAACCAGGAAACACTCTTTTTCTAGGAGACATTAGGCACATCACTGATTGGGGAAAACTTTACCTGAGCGATCGTGCACCAGTTGCAAGATGAGCGGTCTGCGTGTAACAATTCCTGATCCACGAGGAAGGAAATCTCTGCAGTTAAATTTTAAACTAAGTTTAAAAGAATTTAAAGAAAATATTGTAAGTGGGGAAAAAATGGAAATAAATGGTTTGGTCCATGAAGTTGTACACATTTTTTACCAGTGGCAGACCTCTGGAAAAAGTAATGCAGAAAAACAAAAATATCCAGCCACTAGCTGTGGAGGAAACTGCAAAAAACCCAATAATTCTCTCTGAAGGAAAGAAAGGAGCTAGCGAACACTATGATTACTAGAAGGTTTAGCATCAAGGCAACGCTACTTTGGAAGTTAGGGAGCTGTCGAAAGCATCGATGAAGCGAATGCACGCAAAAATGGAGCCACGGCTGACCGAACTACTAAGGTAAGGTTGATTTGCGGAAAAGAGGGGATGTGTCCAGAAAAAGGAGGAATTCTCCGAAGTGAATTAACTGGAAAAAATATTCTCACTTGCCAACAAAATTCTCCAGCACCGATGATTTGCCAGCGCTCTGTCCACCAACCACAGCGATCTGGGGTAAGTCAAAATTGAGCGTAGTTCCCAGCTGTGCAAACGCATCCTGCAAAACAAGTAATTTGAAGTAGGCAACACGCAGGAAAGCTCGCCCTTCAGATCTTCGCTGCTTTTCATGGTACACATTCAGTGTCGCCATACATACATACATACATACATACATACATACATACATACATACATACATACATACATACATACAATAAATGTACATACATACATACATACATACATACATACATACATACATACATACATACATACATACAATACATACATACATACATACACACATACGTATCCTCGAAGTGTGATAAAAGAGAAAAAACGCCGCCAGACTGTTGCCATCGGCTGCATTGCAGAAGCGGCAAATTTGATCACAGCGGACGTGCAAACAGAAATATCACAGGAAACAACTAGTAAGTTTACTAACTGGCAGTAAATGCTACCACCTTCATAACAGGTCCAGCTAAAATTGCCAGGAGAGTACGAGCCAGGTGCAATAATGGAATAAAAAATCCAGCTAAGGGTGTACGGCGTAAAAAATTCGGCCGGAAATCACTGAAAAGCACTCGGAAGCGATCAAGCGAATTCGCGAGAACCAAATTTGGCAGAGAAAAAAGCAAGGCGAAATGGGGGAGGAAAGCGGAGCCACGCTTATCCAAACTTCATCCTTTCCAAAATTTGACCTATCGCAAAGCCAAAGCCAAGAAAGACCCTCGCCGTATTTCGATCTCAGTAGCCCGAGTGGTAGCAAATGTCGTTGGCAAAGATGTTGATGGCTCATCGTTTTGAGGGTTGCTTGCAAGCAAGCTGATGGCAGGTTTGACTTCTTGGCATATGCCAGTACCAATTCTCTTGCGCCAGGGCCAAAAAGCGCTCCAAAGGGCAAGAGGTAATAAAAAAGAGACTTCGGTTCTGGTGAATTGCTCCCTTCTAGCGTAATAATGAGCCTGGAGGGGTAAACGGAGGGAATGAGGAGACCGGAAAAACAGAAAGACGCTAAGGTTCAAACATTCCGTAAATATCACAAACCTGTAATTTGTTGACGATTGGTATAAGGGCTTGCATGCCCACATTAGCCCAGGCCATCGTTGGCTAGTGTTCTGTCCAGTGATGCCAGAGATACCTGCACACCGCCACTCGAAAGTTGACTTCAGTGTACGATAGCAAAAAATTCCGATAATTTCAAGCAAAAAATTTTCTTCTTTCTCGCGTTACTTGTTCCTCTCGGTTCCGGCGCTTTTCGGGAATACTTCAGCCAGTAAAAAGCACAAGTGAGTGAGAAGAAGTGATGCGAAAATGGCTCTTTATGTACACAATTAATATATCTAAAACAACAACCATCGGTACTTTGAAGTTCTGAATGCTCACGAAAATGCTCCGAACACGGGCGAAACTGACACGACAACATAGCCAGAAAAAACACGCTAAAACATACAGCACTGGCGTTCCGAGATAGCGCTACAACTGCTCAGAAAGAATCAGAAAACGCGCAAAACAAAGCCAAAGGAAAAGAAACTCAGTCCTCGGAAGGAGAGGAGAGGGTAGAAACAAGGAAACGCATTAGGAATTAGAAAAGGTGGCGGGGGCAACGAGTTTGGCCAAGATATGGCAGGTATTTTCTTGAAAAATTTGAGCAAAACTGTAAAAGTTAATTCTGAATGAGTGATTGGAATGCACCAGAAAGTAAAACGT